GACAGTAATAAGCTGGTTTCAGAGCTTGAGTGCCTGCTTCAGTCGGTCACTCTAATGCCCCCAGCTCCCTCTTCAGCCGCTCGCTGAATGCCTCTGCCTCGTCAATTCCAATCACATAGTTGGGGAGGAAAGAAGAGGTGGAGGGAAGTGGGGGTACAAGAAGTATACACGGATGGCAAGTCAGGCAACACGTACCTTCAGCTATGTGATTAGGCGATGCTTACGGTAGCCTGATTTTTATGCACTGAACCTGCTGTCACCGCGCTGAACCTGCTGTCACCGCACTGAACCGGCTGTCGCCGCGCTAAACCGGCACTTTCAACGCCCCTGAACCGCACTCACATGCCCAGCAGCGCCTCCATGTCCTCCTCCTCCACCTTGGACACCAGGCTGTCCTGCGCCATCATCAACTCACTCTCTACCCCCACCGCCTCGCCATCCACTCCCACCTTGAACCTGCTCTCACCGCACTGAACCTGTCCCCACCACACTAAACCGGCTGTCACCACATTGAACCGGCTTTCACCGCACTGAACCACACTCACGTGCCCAGCAGCGCCTCCATGTCCTCCTCCTCCACCTTAGACACCAGGCTGTCCTGCGCCATCATCGACTCGCTCTCCACCCCCACCGCCTCGCCCTCCCCTTCCTCTGTCAGCCGTGCTCCTCCTGGCAATGACTTGGCGTTTTTCTACACGGTTGGGGATGGGGGTAGGGTAGGGGTAGAGAACGGTGAAAGCCGATCAGAAAAGGTTTCATAATCCAGCCCCCCCCCCCTCCTCCATCAGCCTCCCTTCCCTTGGCAACGACTTTTTGCACAGCAAGAGGTTGGGGAGGGATGTGGGGTTAGTTTGTTTTTGCACGTCTTGAGGTGCAACAACTAATCTATCCCAGAAAGAACACCAGTTCACACACGAATTGCACACGAATTGCACCCACACCGCACCACACCCCACAGCACCCCACCCCACCCACCCCACCCCACCCCGTCCCACCGTACCCACTCCACCGCAACCCACCTTGGCCCACAGCGCGAGGTCGACCACATCGAGCCCAATGACTTTGGGGAGCGTTTTCAGATAGTCCTTGCACATCTTGAGCAGCAGAAACACCAGCTGGTTCCTGCAGTTGGAGTGAGGTCAGGTCAGACGCAGGAAAAGAAGAGAGGGGATGTGAGGGTAAGAGGCGCATCAGAAACCTCATGAGGTAGTTCTTGCACATCTTGAGCAGCAGAAATACGAGCTGGTTCCTGCGGGTTGGGATAGAGGGCGGCGATGGGGACGACGTGATCAGATGCCAGGCCTGCATGTGCGCTTTTGAGTCGACTCAAAAGTCAGATGCCAGGCCTGCATGTGCGCTTTTGAGTCGACTCAAAAGTCAGATGCCAGGCCTGCATGTGCGCTTTTGAGTCGACTCAAAAGTCAGATGCCAGGCCTGCATGTGCGCTTTTGAGTCGACTCAAAAGTCAGATGCCAGGCCTGCATGTGCGCTTTTGAGTCGACTCAAAAGTCAGATGCCAGGCCTGCATGTGCGCTTTTGAGTCGACTCAAAAGTCAGATGCCAGGCCTGCATGTGCGCTTTTGAGTCGACTCAAAAGTCAGATGCCAGGCCTGCATGTGCGCTTTTGAGTCGACTCAAAAGTCAGATGCCAGGCCTGCATGTGCGCTTTTGAGTCGACTCAAAAGTCAGATGCCAGGCCTGCATGTGCGCTTTTGAGTCGACTCAAAAGTCAGATGCCAGGCCTGCATGTGCGCGAGTGAGAGAGAGCAGACCTGTCGTCGAATGGGCAACTTTTAAGTTGCCTGTGTGCATGTGTGTGGACGTGAGTGTGTGCATGCATGTATAAGTGAGAGACGGCACGGCACACCTGTCGTCGACTGTCCTTGTGGTCCATTGAGGCTGTGAGCTGTCCTGTTATTCCATTGAGGCAACTATCAAGTGCGTGTGTGCATGCATGCATGCATGTGCGTGTGTGAGAGACGGCACACCTGTCGTCGACTGTCCTTGTGGTTCATTGAGGCTAGCTCTCAGTGCGCATGTGCATGCATGTGTGTGCATGTCTGTGTGGACACGTGTGAGAGACGGCACACCTGTCGTCGACTGTCCTTGTGGTCCATTGAGGCTGTGAGCTGTCCGTTTTCTCGTCAAACACCTGGCAGCACGCCATTGGTGGAGAGACGAAGGAAGAAGAAAGCAGTGAGAAGGGAGATAATGAAATGAGATGCCACACATGCACGTGTTCTTCTGAGACGTTCAAAAGAAGCACCAGCGTCATGCTCGCGAGTGAGCGAGTGAGTGAGTGAGATGAGATGAGATGAGATGAGATGAGATGAGATGAGATGAGATGCTCGTAAGAGGGCGAGTGCCTAGGAGGAGAGTGAGTAAGTGAGTGAATGGGTGAAAAAGAGGCCTACCAGGAGGAAGGAGCGGCCTGTAGTGTCACTGATGACTAGCTCAATGCTCGTGAGGGCTCCCAATCGGTATGACTTGAGCAGCTGTGTGTGTGAGAGAGAGGGGGGGGGGGGGGGGTTGGGGGGTTTGCGGCATGGGAGGGAGCGTGTGGGGGGGGGGGGGGGGGGGGAGGGAGAGGAGAGAAGGGGGAGAGAGGGGGGGAAGGGACGGCGTGGGTAGGGGAACGACGTGGGGGAGGGGAAGGCGCGGGGAGGGGTGGTGGGAAGGGAGGGTGGGACAAAGGAAGGAAGGTGAAGAAGGGGGGAGGGAGATAAGGAGAGAGGTGGAGCTGGGTGAGAGTCGAGACGACTGCTGCTGGACTGCATAAGCAGAGTCAGATGGGCTGAGCAGGAAGCTTTAGGTCTGGCAGGTTTGGAAGACAATTGCCAGTTCCAGAATTGGTAATATGATAGCAACATCAGGAGGAGGTGCGGGGATGATTGAAACAAAAAACAAAACCGTACAAAACAAAAATAATCAAAAGCGCCGACCTCTAGTCCTTGAGGTCCGGGCTTGATGATGTGGATTTTTGGCTTCTGTTTCCCCGTGTTCTCCTTGCGCCTCACTGCCGGTGAGGATTGAGATAGTCACAACAAGCTTCAGGATTGAGTCAAGAATTTCACCCTAGCGACATGTATTGCGAGAATCATGAAAGAACTATTACTCAATGAGATGGGGAGGACGTCAAAAAAATAGTTAACAAAAGGACCCGACCGAGAGTAAATGCGACCTAGAGCTAGTCAGTGTCGGAACTGTGCCTAAATTGCATATCGCCAATGCCTCAAATGCCGGAACATTAATGACTATGCACTGCATGATCGTGGTTTCACCAAGAGGAAAGCTTTGGAATATTCTGAAAGCCATCAACATTCAGCATGTATCAGCTAAGACCAAAGAGTGAGACTACTCATTTTCGGACATTGCTAGTCAGCCTCGTCCGTAGGAGCAATGATACATACGACGTACCTACAATAACCTAAAATTACTGTTCCAGCAACTGCAGTACACGACATTGCTCACCGCCAATAGCGAGGATACGCGGTTTGCTCTGCAGCCGCCCGCGTCGCCCGGCGACGGTCCACGATGCCTGGTTCTTGGAGAGTTTCATCGCCATGAGAATCGTCTGCGACGGATCTTCCAGCAACGCCTCCACCTGCTTCGTCAGGTCCGTGCTCCCCGCCATCGCTGGCGAAACTCCGGCGAAAGGTAACGAAAGCTAGCGACGAAAGGGACGGCTTCTGATGCTCGTGACTGCCGGCGAACAGTCGTTACGACGACGGCAGCAACTGAATCAGGAGAAATGTTACTATCGAAAGCTAACGCCCGCTGCGACGTTCGTGAAAACGCAGCGACAGACGGAACCCTAAAGCGTTGCAATCATTGGAAGTGTTCTGCCAAACTGACCCGTTTTGAGACGTCTCAAAAGCAAACCATCCCGGCAGACCGACGGTTTTTAGAATCACAGAGCTTCAAAATGGAAGACTGAAAGCGGGAGTCAAATTTCACGAAAGCTGGAGAGCAGTCACGAAATTTACAAAAAAGGGTAACAGGCCGCGAGGACGTGCGAGAAGACACCCACACCGAGGGAGAGCGAGCAGAGTCTGCTAATGGTGCCTATTCGCTATTCACTATTCTCATAGTTAGGGACAGCTGACAGGAAATGTTCCGTGAGTTACAGGTATGGCAGTAGACCAAGGTAGGTGCTGCTGCTGGTGACGAACCTAGATAGTGGCGATGATGGCGGCAATACCTTGGCTGGGGATGGGGCGGATGAGGCACCCAAGGTATTGTCCGCGTTAGGGAGTGCATTATGGGGGGTACGCAATTTCGTATTTGGGAAATCCATTGTTAGTTTTTATTGTGCGTTTTTGTATTATCTTGCCTGGTTTTTTAGTCTTCAACCAGCTCAAAAAAAACCATAAATGATTTTTCCTTTAGATGCATCTTGTGGATTCATCCAGCTTCGAGCCTGCTTGCTTGTTGTTGCTAAAAGAATTATCCTTGTGAACACACAAACAAAGATGTAATTGGAGCAAGCATTTAGGATACTTCATTATTTATAACTAAACAAAAGTAACATGCAGGATGCACTCTTAACAGAGGGTACAAATAAAAAGCAAAAGCAAAAACAGGAAAATTTACTTGTTATATGGCATTCCATGTAACAAGAGAATTTAATAAAGATATGAAGGAAATCAGGAAGGTGTCACCCTTCCAGAAGAATGTTTCACACGGCGGTTGTAGCCCTGCGAAGTTAGTAGCTCCCTCCCTCTATCGTCACACTTGAAAAAACACTCCTTCATGCCACATTGCAGCGGCAAAAATCTACAAGCGCCGTGTGCCAACACATTCCATCGCGCTTGTAGCGAGTATGGGAAGGAGGTTGAGGAAGTCGGGTACAATAGAAGGAAGCAGAAGGCAGTGATATGGAGCTGGTTGATAGGAGTGGACGGAGAGGAAAGAATTCAGGCCAAATTGCTCAGTGCTGCTGCGCATCCTTTGTCTCTTGTGACGGGTGGCTATCCATTTCCATGCCCTCACCCTCGCCCTCACTCTGCATTGTCAGGGGCATCAGTTGTGTGAGGGGAGCAGCATCGACAAACGCATCCCACCAATGCTGCTGCTGCTGCTGCTGCTGCTGCTGCTGCTGCTGCTGCTGCTGCTGCTGCTGCTGCTGCTGCTGCTGCTGCTGCTGCTGCTGCTGCTGCTGCTGCTGCTGCTGCTGCTGCTGCTGCTGCTGCTGCTGCTGCTGCTGCTGCTGCTGCTGCTGCTGAAGCTGCTGCTGCTGCTGCTGAAGCTGCTGCTGCTGCTGCTGAAGCTGCTGCTGCTGCTGCTGAAGCTGCTGCTGCTGCTGCTGCTGCTGCTGCTGCTGCTGCTGCTGCTGCTGCTGCTGCTGCTGCTGCTGCTGCTGCTGCTGCTGCTGCTGCTGCTGCTGCTGCTGCTGCTGCTGCTGCTGCTGCTGCTGCTGCTGCTGCTGCTGCTGCTGCTGCTGCTGCTGCTTGCGTCGGCCGAGCAGCAGCAAGCTCAAAGGAGCATCTGTAACCCCCAGATCCTGCGCTCGCTGCACACGCACAGTTGCTGCTGCTGTGCCACGAATTCCTGCCGAACCTCCTGCCGAACTTCCTGCCAAGCCTCCTTGAATTCCTGCCGGACATGTGCGGGTGCTGCTGCTGCAGATTGTGGAGGGAGCTGCAGGAGAGCTGCGGCTCTGAGGTAACATGGGGATTGCGGGGAGCGGATGGGTCTTAGCAGGAAGGGAAAAGGCGGGAGTGAGGCGGGTGTTGGACGAAGGGGGTAAGAGGGTGTGTGCTTGGCTGGTGGAGGGGAAAGCTGCAGCGGGGGTGGTCGAGGGGAAGGCAGCAGCGATAGTGGCAGGGGAGGATGGCTCTAGAGGCGAGGTCGGCCCGGGGGAGGGAGAGGGAGAGGGGGAGGGGGAGTGGGAGTGGGAGGGTGAGGGAAAGGCGAAGGCTTGGGCGTTTGCAGTGGGGGATAGGAGTTGGAGGTTCGAAAGCAGTGGAAGTTGGGGAGAAGAAGAGGGAATGGAGCCGGATGGAATGGATGGAGTCTGGTCGCCAGCATCTGAAGCTGTTAATAACGAGGATAGGGCGTGTGAGGAGGCAGCCTGGGAAGGGGCGACTGGGGAAGGTGTTACCTGGCTGAGCATGCGGGTAACAGAGTCAGATATAGCGCTAGAGGAGAGAGCAGAAGAAGGGAGAGCGATAGAGGGGAGAGTGGTAGAGGGGAGGAGGCAGGGAGAGAAGGTGGGAGATGCAAAGGCTGATGAGGATGACAGCACAGGGAAACACAGTGAAGAGTGCCATGCTTGCTGCTGCTCCTCCTTCTGTTTCTTCTGAGTCGACTCGAAAGGCTGCTCCTGCTGCTGTCGCTCCAGGTATTGATCTAAGAGAGACTGAGACCGCAATGCCGCAGCTCCCGCACACTCCATCTCAAATCCAATTCCTGATTCTACCTTCTCTCCTGCCACCGCTGCTGCTGCCCATGCTGCTGCCGCTGCTGCTTCTTTGGAGGTGGTTTCAAAAGGGCATGCCATGCCAAATCCTGATTCTACCTCTGCTCCTGTCGCCACTGCTGGAAATGCGCTCTGGGACGTCTGAAGGCCTGCTGGCAGTGCTGAGATTGACAATTCTTCCTTCTCCCTTTTCTTCTTCTGCTGCTGCTGCTGCTGCTGCTGCTGCTGCTGCTGCTGCTGCTGCTGCTGCTGCTGCTGCTGCTGCTGCTGCTGCTGCTGCTGCTGCTGCTGCTGCTGCTGCTGCTGCTGCTGCTGCTGCTGCTGCTGCTGCTGCTGCTGCTGCTGCTGCTGCTGCTGCTGTTGCTGCTGCTGCCATGTGTCCACCAAAGGCAATGACATGCCTCCCATTGCCACATCACTCCCTGCTATCCAACACTGCTGCTGCTGCACTGACTCTTTTCCTCTCAAAAGGTCCAGATTTGCTGTAAACATCCCTCCTCCCACCAGCTCCCCCTGTCCATCCATCTGACCAGCACCCACACCACCCACACCACCCACACTACCCACACAACCCACACAACCCACACCAAAACCTGAAGGTTCACAAGTCCCCACTGCTCCCGCTCCCATTGTGGATCCTCCCATGCTCACACCCTCACTTTTGACTGTAACATGGTTACCACCACAACCGTCCGATACACGAGCCTCCCTCTTCTGCACCCAATCTCCCACAGGGGCGTTTTCAGTCGGAGGTAATTCCTGAGCCATATCCAAGCCTTGTGTAGCATTCCCAGGAATCAGCAAGCCTGTAACGGAAGCGGGGAGGCGTCTAAGGGGGATATGCAAGCGCTGGGAGATGGGCGGGCGGGAGTGAGGGGGATTCGGTGCCTCATGGTTATGCTCGTTAAGGTAGTTGATTATAGGGGAGATAGGGGCAGTAGGGGCGACTCCAGTGACAGCAGCGGCAGTATCAGCACCAGTAGGGGTAGAGTTAGCAGATGGGAGGAGAGTGGTGCAACCAGCAGCAGAAGGCTGGTCCGCTTCAGCTACTGCTCCTGATTCCAACCGTCCACTAGTAGACGCGTAGGAAGCTGCGCTGCTGATAACACCCGGTGTGATCCTCCAGTCAACAATTTTTTTTGCCGGGCAGGGTTCTCGGTCAGGATGCAAGCTGACCTGGCGGGGGTCGCCGAGAAAGCAGCGGTAGTAGGAGCGGATACAGCAGGAATCCACCACTAGCGGTTTTTGTCCGTATTTGCACCAGTCGTACCCGTCGTCTGGCAAGTCAACCGGGAGCCACTGGTACCTCTGCCGCCCGCTGACCCCGCCACTGCTGCCACGCTGCCGCCCGCTCTGCCGCCCGGAGGAGCCAGCACTGCCACCGCTCCGCCGCCCAGAGGTGCCAGGGTTGCTACCGCTGTCGTGGTCTGCTGTGGTATCCAAGCCTCGCTTGCAGGTTCGGGCAGCAGCAACAGTGGCAGTGGCAGTGGCAGTGGCAGTGGCAGCAGCAGCAGCAGTGGCAGTGGCAGTGAGAGCAGCAGCAGCAGCAGTGGCAGTGGCAGTGGCAGCAGCTGTGGCAGGAGGAGCAGAGACAGCATGTGTGGCGTGAGGTGACAGCTGGGGAGCAGAGCATAGGGAGAAGAATGCTGATACGGACGGAGGGGAGGGAGGGGGGCAATCCAACACACCCCCAGTTGTAGCAGGGCGTGCCATCATCGATCCAGCCGACGAGGGGCGATCTAACACCGCCCCAGCAGAAGCAGAGCAGCGGAAAAAGGATAGGGGATGGTCCGGAGTGGCTGCAATCTCTGTAGTGCCCATTCCTGGGACGGCAGCTGTAGCGACAGCAGCAGCAGCAGCAGCGGAAGCAGTGGCGGCGGCTGTAGCAGCTGGGGTGGCAGCAGCAGGAGGTGCTGTAGCAGCAGTGCTGCTTCTCCGGGACCTTGAACGTGCAAGGTACTTGGCACGGTGTGCAGTTCTGCAATGCGAAGGCAAGAGGAGAAGAGAGGAGAGGAAAGGTTAGTAAGAGGATAGGAGAGAGGACATAAAGCCTGGTAGAAGGTTTTGCCGCAGGAAAGGCTAGGAGGAGAGGACAGGGGTGATGAGACGAGGGGTGATGAGATGAGGGGTGATGAGATGAGGGGTGATGAAATGAGGGGTGATGAAATGAGGGGTGATGAGATGAGGGGTGATGAATTGAGGGGTGATGAATTGAGGGGTGATGAGATGACGGGTGATGAAATGAGGGGTGATGAGACGAGGGGTGAGGAGATGAGGGGCGATGAGATGAGGGGTGATGAGATGAGGGGTGATGAGATGAGGGGTGATGAGATGAGGGGTGATGAGATGAGAAGTTGAGGGTTCCTAAATGACCAAAATCTTGAAACCATTGAGTTTACGTACAGTTTCAAGCTGTGTGTCTTGGGTACGGTTCCTTGCCGTCGTACGGTTTCAGAAGGACACAGCACTGCCCCTGCTTCTGCCTCTGCGTGTGATGCGGCGGTGGATACTGCAGGACTGGGGCCCGAACCTCTGGGGCTGGGTGCCGAGCCTACAAGGCTGGGTCCCGAGCCAGAGGGGCTCGGCCCCCCCGAACCAGCCCCATAATGGCTCGGTGCCGAGCCAGCGGCAGAGGTGGCGGAAAACTCGCGGCAGCCGCCGCTGGTGAGGGGGGAAGGGGGACGATGAGACGCCGCCGTCGCCGCCTTTGGGGGGGTAATGAGCGGAGTCAGTGCCGGGCGACGGAACCCACCCGGCGGGGATGCCGCCACCAGCGCCGCTCCCGATGCTTCCGCGGATGCTCCTGCTGCCGGAACTGCCGCCAACGTTGCGGGTGTCCATTCCATGACGATTCCGCGTCCCGCGGCATCACCTTGCTCCCCGCCGCTGGGTGCGGCGGATGCAGCGGCGGCTGTGGCGGCGGTGGAAGCGGCGCCGCTTTCTTGCTTGACGAGGACCATGCCGCAGTCGTCCCAATCCCAGTACGGGTCCATAGTAACGATCGTGCAATTACGGAACAAATCGCGCTATATTAAGGAAATAAACGCGCTATTATGGAAGGGGAGCACGTCACAAAAAAATCCGGCACGGGCCGCATTAAACTCTCTGGATCAACTCAGCTGCGAACGTAACTCTATGGTAAAATAGCTTGTAGGCGGATCAACAAGCGCGGGCGAAGCACACGATCAGCTCGACTGATCGCGGAAAATCGTATGACTGTCTCACCGCAAAAAAATATATCTTGTCAAAAACGACGATCACCAACGACGCTGCCGTGAGCATTTATATGCGTACGGGGTGACGCAAGGGTCGCGGCTGATTCAGGCTGTTGCTGCGTTTCTATTTCGAGATTTGAGGTACTTGGCGTTATATGCAGGGCTTCTATATGTAGGGCTTTCTTGCAGCATGTGCCAGCACGGATGGCTCCGCGTATCATGAGCTACTGTCACGCAACTTCTTGCGAACAACGGGGGGAATGCACGAGGCAGGACTGTCTACTGTACACTCAATTTTGAGTGCAAATTCCAATGTCTCCGCGTGTGCGCTCAATTTCCCAGCGAGCCGCTCCGCGTACGGCACATTGGCGACTGCGGAGCGCTAACCCCCATGACGCGGTATGGAAGGTCGTTTGGTTACTGTTTGCCAAGTTCCCGACTCTCTCATTCGCTGAAGTACAGTCCCAAATACGGACAAACGGCGTGACCAATTGATTGCTACGCGCAACAAACTGCCAGGACACTATGATAGTGAGCAACCATAAGAGAATCTGTCCTACAGTGCGTCGTTCCCGCCATGAACCCTGGATAAACACCCTCACGAAGATTCTGGGTAAGCTTGCGATGAAAATAACAATCTTAGGATCTGGGCGCTGGATATGGGCTAAACAAAGTTACAGTATGGTGGAGGATCGATGTTTTGCCGTCGATCTACAATCTACCAAGCCCTCAGTAGTAGACTGCCTACGCTCAAGTTGCGGCAAGTCGACCCTCTTTCTGGGAGGTTAACAGTACAACATTGGCTGTTGAATTGAAGCTTCCCACACCCCTCGGAAGCCACTCAACAACCATTGATTCACTTCAGCGTAGTCCACTATTGTTGGACGAAAGCACTTACACAAGAAGGGCAGCTAGTACTGACCTGAAAAATAGTCCAAGGTCTTGACACTGCTCGCACCCCCCCCCCCTCCCCCCACCCTCTCGCCCCCACCTCACAAGTCTGCTTCCTCAATGATCGTGTTGGCGTGTCGTTCGTCCCCGCTCTTTTCTTGCCAGCACCACGAACGAAAGTGAGGGAGGCGCGTTGTACCAGTTAGGGTTTTATCGCAGTTTAGGGCGGGTCGCACGCTCGTTGCAGCTCATGTTTCACAAGTAAGGCTGGTAAAAAGCGGTTCAAAGCGGTAAAGGGAATATACAGCTCTATAGTGGACAGCTCGTAGCCAACCGCTAAAGTACATCAATTGTGAGCCGGGCAAGTGCAAGCAGAAAACTGCCACCCACTTTTGTATTGCATTCACAGCCCAATCCAGAAAAGGCCCCTCAATCTGAGCACACCCAGAATCCCAGGTGCCGTGAGCGAAGCTGGTCCGCAAGTGCTCCTCACGCGTCAGCAACTACCTCTAAACCGAAACCCGTCTCAAACTATCTTTTGAACAGCAGCTCTCCAGCATTTCTTCTATATTTTATCATTGTTAAAAGTTGTTACGGGTGCAATGAATCTAGGTAGCGAGGATTGCACTTAGTGTTCAATGAGTACAAAGTATGAGCGAAGGCATGAGCAAATACTTATACGCGAAAATGTGCAAACCGTAACGTGGTGTGTGCGAGCTAGCTAGTGCTACGCTGGCGCGAGGTTCGGGCTAGTCCCGAAGCGTAGGCCGACTCGGCTGCTCCAAAAGTGCGAGGTTTGGTGAAACAGTGCGCGCGAAGTTGGCGAAGCCCCGTTAGCAGTAACGGCCGAACAACGGCTGCTTCTGTACGCGATGTTGATGGTCGCGGTAAGGAATAGCGAGAAAATTCCTTACACTACCCCCCCCCCCCCCCCCCCCCTCTCAAGAAGCCCCCTCCGCTACGCGGGTGCATGTATATCGTGGAAACCCCGGCTCCTTAGGTACACTTGCAGGGCAGGGTGGTTTACGATGTCGGCCAGGGGCATCCAGCTATCTTCAGTTGGCGTGCGGTCCGATGCAGGGCGAGTCATGGATGGCGGGCGGTGACGAGGCAGTTGGCTCGTGGTCGAGATGTAAGGGCGAAGCTGAGAAGAATTGAACGAGAATGAAATGAGTATGAACGAAGTGAGTACAAATAGGAAACCCTAATAGTGTTGTACCCCCTATGGGATACCCCACTATAGCCTACACAAACAAGTAAGCTATATGTTCTGACACACCCCCATAGGCAAAGTGGGGGAGAACAAGGGGTCACAAGACCAGTCAGGCAAAGCAAAGCAAAGCTCAGGGTGGATCACAAAGTCACCACGCATTCCGAGCACAAGTTCAAAGGCCACAAGGCCAGTTCACATGCAAGATCATATATAGAGTTATACAAGAGTCAAGCAAGCAAGAGCAAGAGTATATATATGCGAAGGTACAAGCAAGGTCAAGAGGAGAGCAAGTGAGGCAAGACAGGCACAAGACCCAACTGCGTGCAGCAACGCTGATGATCACAAGGCGGAAGTGCCTTGGTGAAGACATCAACAGTGTTGGCCTCAGAGGCCACGTACGCAAGTCGCAGCTGTCCACGCTGCTGTAGCTCACGAGCAAGAAAGTAGCGAAGAGCAATGTGCTTCGTTCTGTGCTCCAGACGCTGCTCTCGACACAAGGCCAGCATGGCCTTGTTGTCTACGTACAGGACTGGAGGAGAACGAGGCTGCTCTCCAAGGTCGGTCAGCAGGTAGGTGAGCCAGCGTAACTCCTGTGCAGCCATAGCCCCAGCGTAGATCTCAGCCTCACAACTGGAGCCGAGAACAGAAGACGAGCGGGTAGCCCGCCACGAGACAGAGCCGGAACCAAGGCTGAAGGTGTAACCCTGTGACGACCGCTGCGTAGCCTGGTCGTCAGCCCAAGAAGCGTCTGCGTGTCCAGTGAGGACCACTGGACTGCGCCCTCCAAGCACTAGCCCCATGCCCGACGTACTGCACAAGTAGCGCAACACCCTCTTCGCTGCAGCCATGGGCTCTGGTCGGTGTCTCCCAGGAGCAACAAAGCGTGCGAGAATGGTAAGAGGGTATGCGAGGTCAGGTCGTGTGCAGGTCATCAGGTACATGAGGCAGCCAACAAGCTCTGCAAACGGGCCACTCGACTCTACGGACTCATCCGAAGGCAGAGCTGAGAGCGAGTGGCGAGTAGGCAGAGGAGTGGCCTGAGGCGAGGAGTACGTGAAGCCGAAGCGCTGAAGGACCTGCTGCACCATGTGTGACTGAGTCAGGGTAATGGTGCGGCGTGCTCTGTCCCGGGTGATCTGCAAGCCAAGGTAACTGCGCAGTTCACCCAGGTCAGTGCACGTGTGTCTCTTCTACAGCTCGGACTTCACGTAGGCGAGTCCAGCAGTGTCAGCTGTGGCAAAGACCAAGTCGTCGATGTACACGAGGATGTAGAACGGCGGCAGCGAGGTGTCGGTGCGCAGAAACAGCGACGGGTCGGCAGTGGAAGGAGCAAACCCAAGTGCCGCGAGCGTAGTCCTCAGTGTGTCGTGCCACTCACGTGGCGCCTGGCGGAGACCGTAGACTGGACGCCGGAGACTCCACTGGGTACCAGGAGGGAAAGACCCAGTGAAGCCAGGTGGGCGACGCAGCCAGATCTCCTCGTGCAGGCTGCCCTGCAAGAAAGCTGTGCTGAAGTCGAGAGAGTGCAGCTCGTAGTCACGGTGAGCAGCAACGTGCAGCAGAACCCGAAGAGTGGTCATCTTCGGGGTGGGGGAGAAGGTCTGAAAGTAGTCAACCCCCTGCCGCTGACTGAAGCCACGAGCCACGTAACGCGCCTTGAAGACAGGCGGAGAACCCGGCGGCCGCTTCACCCTGAAAATCCACATGCCACTGACGATGTTTGCCCCAGGAGGGGGAACAGCGTCAACGTAGGTGCCTGTGGACTTCCAGGAAGCCATCTCTGCATCCATAGCTGCCTGCCACTGAGAGGAGTAGGGACCCTCTATCGCCTCCGCGTAAGAGCGCGGAGTCGGGATGTCTGGTCCATCCGGGTCTCCCTCAGGGGCTAGCAGTACAGACGCGAGACGAGGTGAAGCGGCGGCCAGACACTGGAACTCCTCCTGCCTGTCCTCAAGGACGTCCGTGCCAAGGGCACACTCACCCCCGACGGACGGAGGACAGGCGGACTCAAACTCAGTGACAAGACGAGCAGCGTAGTCTAGACGACAGCGCGCAGCAAAGTCGACAAGCTCAGTGACAAGGGCAGACGCAGCAGACGACTCGAAGGAGGGGTCAGTGACAGCAGTAGCCAGGAGACGCGTGACAGTAGGACTGGCAGCACGAAGAGAGTCCGACTCCGGGTCGGCAAGAGCAGGAAGAGAGGAAGCAGGAGGAGAAGGCAAAGGGGCACGCAGAGGAGCAGTCGACGGACGCAGCGACATCCGGTGCGTGCCAGGGACAGGAGGAGG